AATTGCGACCTCCATCCTCAAAAGAGCAAAAGAACTCCCCCATAAAGAAAACAAACAAGCAACACTTCATCCAACTAACCTCCTGCTTGTTAGTGCCACCCCCCTCCCCCTCTACAGGGGGAGGTGGCCTGGGACAGCCTGGCTCCTCACCCCTCAGTTCTCCCAGAGTTCTTCTCCTGTTCTCCTCACCCCCCCCCCCATCCTTAAACTGCGCATGGCATACATATATGACAGGAATAACGTGTTCCACCATGCGCTTGGCATACATATGCGATGTAGGGTGCCGGCCACAATTCAAATGGCCCGCGGTGTAAAGGGGTCACTTATATTGTAGCCAGGGGCAATTGTAAATAGAAGCCATCTTGAAAAAAATTAATTGCAGGCACCCTTTGTCTTACAGGCCTTATAGTTACCGACCAGACGCAATGGTGAGCACATCCCAATCAAGTGTCTGACCTCTCTCAGCGCACCGCTCCATGCAGTCATCGACCGAAAACGAAATTAGCACTTCCGCCTTTGACAATAAAGATGTGGGGATTACAGATCTGGGGATTCCAGACCCTGATACTGGTGATGAAATGTGTGAAATGGACTTCACTGCATATTTTGATGAGCCACTCATGGAACATATTGTTCACAAAATGAACAGATATGAGGCTGATCTCATTGAAGGTGAGGATGTATCGGAATTTTCACGATTATAGCATTGGAAAGAGACGACTGTAGGTGAACTGTATGTATTTTCTGCCATGTGTATGCTGTTGAAACATTATGTGACACACGTAATATCCCATTATTGGAGCAAAGACAACACAGTTCCAATACCATTGTTCAGGAAATATATGTCTCGAGACCGATTTTTGGTACTCCTACGGTGTCTTCATTTTGCAAATAATGCAGACGAGAGGCAGAATGATAGGCTTTGGAATGTGAAGCACATGCTAAATGAGCTAATTAGAAAGTTCAGAGATTTTTCCGTACCAGCTCAGAAGCTGGTTATTGATGAATCCCTTGTGTTTCTCAAAGGATGTGCTCCCTTCAAGCAGTATATTCCCCTCAAAATGGCACTGATTTGGATTGAAATTCTTCTGTGACTGTGAATCAGGAATGATGTTACACATGATACTGTATTCGGCTACAAATGTAGACATTCTTGGTTATGACAAACATGGCTTCTTGGGTAGTGTGGTGAAGGCACTGCTTGCACCATATCTGAACAAGGGCCACATATTTTACACAGATAACTATTATAACAGTCCCTTGCTAACCAGGTGCTTGCTTAACCCTTCCACTGCTTAGGGGTCCTGAGGACATTTACACCCCTTTGCGCAAGAAAAAAAAAATTAAAAAAATTTTGTTCGTCTTCTAAACATGTTAATTTGTGTCCCCTGAGCACGGGAAAAATAATAAAAAATTCTATTGTACATACCAATGACACAATTGAGCCGATGATGTCATAGAACGTGAGTGCTCAAGGGTGCTGCGTCAGGCAGCCGTCACTCACAGCCGCTCAGGCGGCCCGAGTTGCCACAAATTTATTTTCGCGGAATTATTTACAGTATTCTTGGGTCATTTTACACAATTTTTTTTCGCTAGTATTGTTCCAATTATTACCACTGGACGCTGTATTATAATAAAAATGGTATAAACTCACTAGGCGCTCACATATTAGTGTCACAAGTATGCCCACCAAATTGGTATAATTTACAGGAAATATTCAATGTATTTGTTTCTTTTTTCAATATAAACACAAAAATTAACTTGATATGTACATTTATTTACAAAAGAATTACACATTTAGTAGTCCTGGAGACTGTGATACTGTGCGAAACAGTCGATATGGCACAGAGGGACAGCACACGTTTCGCACTAAGTCAACACCAATTTACATTTCTGTGACCTCAATTTGGTACTGGAACACACAACACACCAATGCTGGCCTGCTGCACAAGCTCCAGTTGGTGGTAATTTCTTGATTTGGTGTATCAGAAAGGCCTCCCTGTAAGCGAGCCTGGGTGCAGGAGCATGGTTCAGTATTGGGTCTCGAATGGGTCTTTGTATGCCAGGTGTGTCCCTGCAAAATTTACCTAGTAACTGTTTAAACGAACGGAAATATGGTTTCCTACTTGTTTTCACAAGAAACATGTTGTAATTGTTCAGCATTGTTACGTCAATAAGGTGGAAAATCATTTTCTTTGTCCACTTCACTGTTTTCCATACACACTCTACAACACCCACCATCATGTCACATTTATCAACTAAACATATGTTGATGTGGTAGTCCATCACACAATCTGGCTTATATATTATTTGCTTTGTTGTTCTGTTCACCTTGCCACTGTCCACCATTGTACCAGGGTGAATGGTGGTCAACATGTTCACTTCACGTCTGTCTTTCCACTGCACTGAAAGCATTGCACCACTTTTTCTTACCTCACAATCACCTACTTGCATAGCAGTGTCAAACACAGGCATTTCCTTTCGTTTTGGCTTTACTGTTCCACACACTCCAGTCTTATTATCAAGCAAGAATTTTGTTAACAAGGGACTGGTATAATAGTTATCTGTGTACAATATGTGGCCCTTGTTCAGATATGGTGCAAGCAGTGCCTTCACCACACTACCTGAGAAGCCATGTTCGTCATTAGCAGGAATATCTACATTTGTGGCTGAATAAAGTATCATGTGTAACACCATTCCTGATTCACAGTCACAGAGCACAAAGAATTTCAGTCCAAATCGGTGACGTTTTGAGGGAATATACCACTTGAAGGCAGCATGTCCTTTGAAAAGCACAAGGGATTCATCAATAACCAGCTTCTGAGCTGGTACGTAGTAATCTCGGAACTTTCCAATCAGGTCATTTAGCACGTGCCTCACCTTCCAAAGCCTATCATCCTGTCTCTCGTCTGCATTATTTGCAAAATGAAGGCACCATAGGATCAACAGAAATCTGTCTCGGGACATATATTTCCCGAACAATGGTGTTGGAACAGCATTGTCTTTGCTCCAATAATCTGAAATTACGTGTTTCACACAATGTTTCATCAACATGCAAATTGCGAAAAACACATACAGTTCACCAACAGTTGTCTCTTTCCAACGCTGTAGTCGTGAAAATTCTAATAATTCCTCACCTTCAATGAGATCGGCCGCAAGTCTGTTCGTTTCATGAACAATGTGTTCCATGACCGGCTCATCAAAATATGCAGTAAAAAAGTCCATTTCACACATTTCATCACCAGTACCAGGGAAAAGATCCGTAATTCCCACATCTCGGTTGTCAGAGTCGGGAATTTGTGATACAAAATCTTCCCCATCACTCCACACAAACAAACCTGCTGCCATCCGAGAGCCATTAGCTGCACCACGGCGAGGAATCTGGGGACCAGGAGCTGAAGCAGGCATTGCAACAGTAGGGGCAGGAAGGGTAGATGAGGAAAAAGATTTGGAACATGAGGGAATTTGTTCCTCATTGTCGCCATATTGTTCCATGCGGCGGCGCTTGGCTCGGCGGGTAGCTGATGCGGCGAAACTTGTACTGGTACTACCAGCCGGGGTAAAACTATTCTCCGATTCTTCATCACTAAAACCTGAGAAAGATTCACCTGTTTCAGACTCGTCGATCATATCATCAACATGCAATGGAACAGATGAACGACGTGCTTGGGTGCGAGGTGGTGTTGAGTAGTAGCGGGTAACTCGTATGGCATCCTCACCCTCGTGGCACCAACATGTTCACCCTCACTATCCGTTGTTTCTATTTCTTCAGGCTGTGTATAATCCTCATCTATATCCGAGTCGTCAATATTAGATTCGTCAACATCCTTGAACAATTCATTTGCAATTTCATCTTCGGTCAAAGACTGCGCAGCGCGTGCGCTGAGCGAGGTCGCACGCTGGGTCGTGATGCGCTCGCCATGGTGTCTGGCCACTAACTAAGGCCTGTGAAACAAAGGAGTCCTGCTCTAGATTTTTTTTCAAGATGGCGTCTGTTTACAATCGCCCCTGGCTACGGTATGGGTGACCCCTTTACACCGCGGGACATTTGAATCGTGCCTGGCACCCTTTGGCGTATATATACTCCATGCGCACGGTGGGACATGTTACTCATGGCGTATATATACGCCATGCGCAGTTTAAGGGTTAATAATAGAACTGGAGTGTGTGGCACTCCCACACCCAGGCTTACTTACAGGGAGGCTTGTCTGGTACACCAAATCCAGAAATTACCACCAACTGGAGTGTGTGCAGTAGGCCAATGTTGGTGCATTGTGTGTAACACCACACAAATGAGGCCACAAAAACTGTTTCGCACAGTATCACAGTATCCAGGACTACTAAATGTCCAATACTTGTGTAAAAAATGTTCATATTGAGAAAATGAGTGTATATAAAAAAAATAAATGTCTTTTTCCTGTAAAATAAAATATTTTGGTGCGCATACTCATGACACTAATATGTGAGTGCGTAGTGAATTTATAGCAGCTGTATTATAATACAACATCAAGTGACAATAATTGGAACAATCCTAGAGAAAAAAATAGCTGTAAAATGTGCCATAGATACTGTAAATAATGCAGCGGAAATAAATTCGCGGCAACTTGTGACTCTTGAATGTCGAGCGCGAAGGCTCCCTGATGCATCATGCTCGAACGATTATATTCCGTGACATTATCGGTAAAACTTGTCTGCTCATTTACGTCATTAGTAAGTACAATGGAATTTTTTATATTATTTTTCCTGTACTCAGGGAACACAAATGAACATTCTTAGAAGACAAAAAAAAAATAAAAGATTTGTTTTCTTGCACATGGAGGTGTTAAAGCCTTAAAGACCCCATAGCAGCTTAAGGGTTAATGATGAAAGCCGCCGACTGGAGAGAGAGAGGGAGGAGGTCAGAGAGCCTCCAGGGCTCTGGAAACGTCCAGAAATGGACGTTTCATTACATTCAATGCTGGTTTTCTGTGGGGAGCCCCCGTCAGCTCACTGAAGCTAAGTACCAAAAGAGAAGGAAAAACAGGGACATACCAAGAGAGGCAGCAGTGCTGCAGACCTCAATACAAGGAAGAGACAGACAGCTGCAACAGGTGCCCTAAAGCAACATAAAGCCACAGAGAGCCCAGGACATTCATGAGATATCTGTGGCCAGGACCCTGTTTGACCTCCAACCCCCCATCCCCAGCGAATATTGTCCCCAAGATATATTACCAAAGACAGGTGAAAAGAGTGGCAAGCTTCTGAACATAATGGGCATGAGGTCTCACAGGCTGGTGAGACTTAAGGCCACAGCAGACAACCCAAGACACAAGAGCCCTGGAACAGGGAAACTGGAGCAACCCAGAGTGCGTCTACTGATGCAGAACCGGTGGCCCGCAGGTAGCAGCGCCACTGGATATTGCATGTGATGCACCCCCTGGCCTAACCAACCAAGCATTCACAATCAACTGACCCCTCCAGAAGCCCGCCGTTTCATTCGATGCGAGAAAAGAAGATGCGAGAAAAGGAGCCGGCTGCAAATGAACAAAACAACCACCAGGACCAAACAAACAAAACCCCCACACTGGAATAGAGCATGAAGTTCCACAACCCAACCCCCAAAGGCCAAAGCCAACAAACAAAGCACACCAGAAGCAATCACGAACCAAAGGAGTCGCCACAAACCGAGAAGAGTAAAAGGAAAGAACCCAGTCCAGAAACTAAGAAGGCTCAGGTGGCGTAAGGGCAGACTGATGGTGAAAAATGTACAAGACAGTTTACGGAACAAGGAGGAAGTAACATTCACCCCGAATGCAAGCCGCAGAAGCTCCACCAACTCCGCTCGACAAGAAGTGACAGTACTCACCATGAGATACCAATCCAGGAAAAGCCAAGAAAGAGAAAGGGCAAGACCAACCTATCCGACACCGACAAAACCTGATGAAGAGAAAAAAAATGGCATAAAGCCCGTCAAGAAACTTTGGGACTGTTGCTGAGAAGAAGACCGCAAGTGGGACACCATCAAAGAAGCCACCTGATCACCATACAAATGGCAATACACATGTGTCAGAAATACCAGCCACGTATTGCAGAGGAGGAAGTTGAACCAGCAAGGTATTTCAATTAGAACCAGCAAGGCAGTGACACGGAAAAATGCCAGGGTTCAGACACCGAGTAAGCAGCGCCTGAAACCAAGGTTAGGCTAGGCCACCATGGGACCAGCAAAAGGAGCCTTCTCCCAATGGGATTCTAGCTGAGACAGAACCAGCTGAACCAACAGAAAGAGGAACATAAGTTCCACCTCAACCAGTTTTTTTTAACCTGTTAAAAAGCTGCTCCCCCTGTCGGGGGCAGGGGGTGGCACTAACGAGCGAAGGGCTAGTTGGACAAAGTGTTGCTTGTTTGTTTTCTTTCTGCAGAAGTTCTTTCACTCTTTTGAGGATGTAGGTCGCAATTCTAACCAGACTGTGGTCTGTTTTGTTGAGCCTATGTTTCTGGGTGCCTTCTCTGGTCGATGACAAGTATGATATACCTGTATTTTAAATGTAGTATTCATAGGTCATTGCTACCTGTGCCTCCCTGAGATAGGGCAAAGTTCTGGTGCTGGTCTCCAGTAGTCAACAAGAACTTTATGGCTGATGACCTCAAATAGGATAGCACTATATCTCTGGGATAGCTTCAGGGAGCCGATGGGGCTTCCACAAAGAAAGAGTTGAGAGTTACATACCCACACATGAAAAGTATCAATATTAGCTATTACAGATCCATCCAATAGAAGCTTCAGATCAGAGAAAAACATTAATCTCTCTTTCTTCACTGCACTTTGTGCCTAATATTCACAGCAGTCTATGAATCCAAGTTTAGTTTAATTAGCTGCTATGCTACAAATAGGAGAACTTGGCAATCATTTAAAATAACTACAAATATTTACATTTTCTTGCAGCTTTCAAGTTACACATCTTAAGAAAATGGCTTACAATTCCTGATATATCTAAACCAGGTTACACGTATGGCCAGTAATTAGGAGGTATTATGATAAGCAATGCCCGAGACATCACAGTTCATAAAATTATTACTCTCCCGGTCTGTTGGTAGATATATGTACAGTACTGTAAAATATACTTTATCTAGATAAACATTGGAAAGTTAGTAGAAACCTACACACTGTACTGTAATATATGATTTAGTGAACATATCTGGATATGTTCACTAAATCATTTGTGTTAATTGTATACAAACAAATTATTTGGTGTCTGACTTTGGTTTCAGTTAGTGTTGCAGGAAATTCATTATTTACAGTATGATCTAATGATACTTCAATGAATTTAGTTTCCATGACTTTCTTTGTGTGCTAAAAATGTTTATGGTGCATTAGATCACCATTGCTGAGAAGTAACAAATATTCACAGTCAAAACAGTGATACCACAGTATATAATACAAAATATATTGAGGGTCAATAATAATCTGTTTTAAAAGCTTTTTTACACTGTAGGAAAGGAGAAAACTGATCACAAATGAAAGGGGAAAATATAAATTAACTAAATAGTGAATAAATGTATGAACTGTCACTTAAACATAATTTAGGTATTTTCCAGACAATTATTTGTCAATTTCATACCAAGTATCATTAGGTGGATCTAAATGGCAGTCACCATTAAATTGTTATATTTTAATTGATGCCTGATAGTGCAAGCATAATACTATTTCAGCTTATATTTGGATCGTAGGTTTCCTAAAATTCATTATATTATATTATTACTTTTATCTAAAATATGTAAATACTGACAAAATGACTAAGTCATAATTTTCTCAAGTTAACAAAAAGCTACAACATTCTCTCTGAATGTGATGTTCACAAGAGGATAGCAGAGAAAGCAAGAGAAAATAAGATGGCAGCAGAAGAAGACCCAAGGGCAATAGAGGAACCAGAGTGGATAGTTTCAGCCTGAACCTTCTTGGTCTTCTCCATAACTTCACTAGAGAAATCAGAGTAGCCAGCAGCATTCTTGGCTGACGCCCGCAGTACATACAATGTGTCATCAGTCAAACTGTTGATGATGTAGCTATCCCCTGTATAGGGAAAAGAAACCATTTAATAAGAGACACTTTAAGGAGAAAAGTAAGCATAACCTTTACTACCCAACTTATTAAACAAATACTATAAATTCTATTAAAAAAATACTTTGTTTACATTTCCGAATTATATATTATTATGGGTGATCACAGGTTGTTATTTTTCTAAGCAGGAAAGAGTGTGTTTGTATGGCATCCTTTTTATCTCAGTCCTGCATTTTGTGGTAAAGTTTACTTTGCAAATTCGATCTCGTAAACCAAAACAAATGTAAATGACTACCTCTCTGCCAGCTATCCTGAGTCTCTGTGCCTATCCATATTCTTCAGATGTTAAGGATAATGATTTTACTTAAAACTAAATCAAGTAACCTTTTCAAGATACCAACCCAAATTAAAAACAATATATATCTCCTGCCATAGCACTGCTCTATAACAAACATTCTTTTAAATGAAACAAATATTCTTTGAAATGCTAGAGTAATCAAAGTCCACGAAAGTGGTGATCTCACTGAAAACAAAAATTTTCAATCACAATCTACTTGATAAATGGTCTTGGACGGACCAAAACGTTGTCATCTCTTCACTTTCTAGTGTTAGGTTTGGTCAACTTTTTCAGTCACGTTATTGTGACTCATCATCTGCATTTTCAATCAATATGAATCCTGTCCAGATTATCTAAAATATTTGAAAAACAATTAGATCCTGTGTAACAAATTTACTTAATTTCTATGATAGAGCCACAGTGATTTTACAGGAAAAAAAAAAAGATCGCTGGATTGACCACATTTATCTGGACCCCAAAAGACTAGCATTGAATGTAATGAAATGCCATTTTCTGGGTGAGACCCGGAGGCTCCCCGGAGCTAACTGGGCTTATTTGAATGTATTAGACCCTTGTATTAGTCTAAGCAAATAGAGTTCTAGGCCTACTAGGGACCTCGAGCCAGAACCTGGTCCCCTCAGAGAGGCACGAGGAGCAATGGCCTATAGAAGCCCTCGTGTGGTTGGAAGCATTCTATGTTTGCCATTGACTGGGGTCAGGCTCCCAGAAAGGTAAGTGCTCCAAAACAAACCGATGGAACAGGGAAGAAGGAAAACCGGGTCAACCCAAAACGCGTCCTCAGTCACAGAGGCCGTGGTGCACAAGTAATGGCGGAAAGCCGTGACCGGACACAACACATGATGCACTCCCGACCGAACCAGCCAAGCTTCAACAACCCAAGGACTCCTCAGGAAGGCAGCAGTCTCATTCTTCACCAGTAAAGAAGAAGACAAATACAAATCTGCCACCAGGATCAGAAGAGCAGAAACCCCTGCACTGGAGAAGAGCATGATGCTCTCTGACCTGACCCCCCCCCAGGCCAATGCCAACAAGAAAAGAGTCTTGGAGAAACAATCCTGAACCGAAGGGGCCCACCACAAACCGAGGGAGAGAGAGAAAAGAGAGCACCCGATCCAAGGTCCAGGACTACTCAGACACTGTCTGAGCTGTCCTGGACCTTGGATCGGGTGCTCTCTTTTCTCTCTCTCCCTCGGTTTGTGGTGGGCCCCTTCGGTTCAGGATTGTTTCTCCAAAAGACTTTTCTTGTTGGCATTGGCCTGGGGGGGGGGGTCAGGTCAGAGAGCATCATGCTCTTCTCCAGTGCAGGGGTTTCTGCTCTTCTGATCCTGGTGGTAGATTTGTATTTGTCTTCTTTACTGGTGAAGAATGAGACTGTTGCCTTCCTGAGGAGTCCTTGGGTTGTTGAAGCTTGGCTGGTTCGGTCGGGAGTGCATCATGTGTTGTGTCCGGTCACGGCTTTCCGCCATTACTTGTGCACCACGGCCTCTGTGACTGAGGACGCGTTTTGGGTTGACCCGGTTTTCCTTCTTCCCTGTTCCATCGGTTTGTTTTGGAGCACTTACCTTTCTGGGAGCCTGACCCCAGTCAATGGCAAACATAGAATGCTTCCAACCACACGAGGGCTTCTATAGGCCATTGCTCCTCGTGCCTCTCTGAGGGGACCAGGTTCTGGCTCGAGGTCATGAGCAGGCCGGAGGTGAAGCAACGCCCAAGACAGCTTGCAGATCAGTGATCTCGTATCATGCAGCACTGGAGGAGTCGCTGCAGCTTGCCTTTGGCATTGATGTTATGTCTGCACATTTCTGCAAGCTGTCTCGGGCGTTGTTTCACCTCCGGCCTGCTCATGCACCCGTCTCAGCCATCCTGATCCTTGGATCAGGTGCTCTCTTTTCTTTCTTCCCCCTCATTTATGGTGGCCCCTTTGGTTCAGGATTGTTTCTCCAACGCTCTTTTCTTGTTGGCATTGGCCTCTAGGAGTCAGGTTGTTCAGGGTCTGAGGCTTCCCCTTCCCCCTCCCGGGGAAGGGGAGAGCTGCGCAGACATGCGGCGTTGCTTGTGTGACATCATGCTTATTTGCTCGTTTTTCCTTTGGGGAGTTCTGTCCACTCATTGGCGATTTTTGTTGTTTTAAGCAGAATAGGGGTTTATTTTGTGGCGCTTACCTTTCTGGAGGCCTGTCCCGGTTGATGACAGATATAGAATGCTCCAAATCACATGTGCATTTCTATGGGCCATTGCTCCTCGTGCCTCTATGAGGGGGAAAGGTTCTGGCTCGTGGTCCCTGGTAGGCCTAGAATTTCACGCATATTGACTGATGCAAAATAGTTAGGGTATCCATATTAGCCTGAATAGCTCCAGGGAGCGTCTGGGACTCACCCAGAAAATGGTGTTTCATTACATTCAAAGTTGAGTTTTTATAGATGGTGTCTATTTACAAGAGCCCTGAGGAAGCTGATGTGAACCCCATCCCATGTAGCCGCAGGAATTTTGAATGGAACGTGAAAAATACAAATACCCAGAGGCACGTAGCGCACCCTAGACATGGGCCTGCAGGCTCGTTGTGCAGTTAAAGGGTTAAAATCAGATATTATGTACATCTCCCTGCCCTGGTAACACACTATTACTCTCTCATCTTTTCTTATCTAAATTATGGTATTTGTGCTTAGGGTTTTACTACCCAAAATTATCTACATCCTCTAATTACTTAACACAAATCAGCTATTAGAACATTAACCCTTAAACTGCGCAACACATCATATGCAGGGTTGAGTAACTTGCAATAAATTGCGCATCGTATCATATGACGCGATGGAGAACTACGCAAGATTTAAATGGCCCGCGGATACACAGGGTTCACCTCACCTTCATCAGGGCTCTTGTAAACAGACACCATTAAAAAAAAAATCGTGGGCCACATTCCCAGGTGAGAGGGCCTCAGTAATGAGTGAACCACCAAGGCTGGCGCACGTAGCATGAGCTCACAGCACTGCTGACCAGCTTGTGACCACAGAATTGCCTAAAAATGCCATAATATATATGTACATGCTATTATTTAGTGATGATAGTAATACAGAAGACCCCTGACTGTAATAAAAATTACTAGGATTCTGATAATAGCAGGATTGTTGTGATAATTAGCACTGTAGTGGGAAGAGTAATCTTGGTGGGGATGGAGGTAGCATTATCTGCTGACTCTGTGTGACCACCTTTTACTGTCTGGACTCACTATACCAGCTTAGTTGTTCGCTATGGTGAACAAAACATGTAGATACTTATATATAACGTCTGTATATAGTGAATAAGAGCAAAAACAGTATGGTGGGAGGAGAATGGTGGCGAGTAGGGTGAGGTGACGGAGGGAGCAAGTGACAGCCAGTGGCGGACTGCCATTTCCTGCCACTGCCGCTCAGCATACCAACTTAGTGGTTCGTTATGGTGAACACAAATGTAGATACTCATATATAATGTGTGTGTATATATAGTATAATAACAGCAAAAGGAGTGTGGGGGAGAAGCAATTTTGGTGAGGGAGGGAGGAAGGGAATCCAGGTAGCATTACTGTGTGTGGTAGCCACTCTTGTTTTGCACACCATATTAGCTTAGTGGTTCACTATGGTGAACACATATGTACATGAGTATATGCAATGTGTGTATATAGTGTAATAACAGCAACAGGAGTATGTTGGGAGGAGCCATTTTGATGTAGATACGTATACATAACATGTGTAAATAGTGTAATAAAAACAATAACAGTATGGTGGGAGGAGCAATATTGGCAAGTAAGGTGTAAGGAGTGAGATATTGGAGAAGTGAGGGAGGACTGGCTGGGTGTGGCAGCTCACACTTGCGGAGTTCTGAGTGTGTTGATGGTGAATGTATATAGTGTGTGATAATGTATAGTGTGTAAATATATTGCAAATACACATAAATGAACATGAAACATTGGATATATGAGCAATATATGTGGACACATTTGTGACACATATAACACAGTGTCTTGGGACAGTACAGATGTTCTACTGCTATAATATTGTGTATGTGTTCATTATACATAGGATTGGCAAGAAAAAAAAATGTATTTGGAAATGGACGCAAAAAAACAACAAAAAAATATTTGTGGCAACTCGTGCATGTTGAAGCTGGAGGGCGACTGGCTTCGGGAGTATACGCCACAAGCGACCACCATATCGTGACATTGCACGCCATTTTTCAGACCCCATTGCGGCCAAAGTAAGTACAATTTCGATTTTTTTTACGTATCTGTGATCAGGGAAAAGGTTTTTAACATTTTTAAAAACCAAAACAAAATTTTCCCAAGAATTTATTTCCTGCACATAGGGGAGGTGCTGTATTTAGAAGGCGAGGAGCACAATGATTAAATGTTGAAAAACAGCCTAGAACTTTATGAGACATACAAATTAACTATATGGCGATACAAGTGTGTATGAAAAACTATTGGAAGCGGGCTGTTGGACACAGATGCGCTAGCAAATTCGTGGGGCTGTTGTGGCCAGGCTGAAGTGTAGGCCAGTTGTTGCTTGCGTGACGGGTGATGGTCTCCTACAGTAACGATAAGTACATTGTTCTCATACATGCTATGGCGGTGCTTTTTTCTCTTGTGTTAGTGATAGGCCATTTTATACTAAGTTTGCTT